CACGACCCCCCCCCCCCCCCCCCCCCCCCCCGAACCCCACCCCAACCCACCCCACTCCACCACCCACGCCAACCCACGCCCACCCACCCACCCCACCCCCCCCCAAACATAAAAAACAAGGGAGTTCTTAAATGAATAACATGAATAAGGCATTTTAAGACTTTAGTTTCACTTCCACATGAAACTTAACCCATTAAAATATCACATAATCAATTATTTATCAAAAAACTAAACAAAAAACATAGAATATCAAAATAAGACACATTGTACAAAAAAGGAATCAATTATTCATAAAAGAAAACGATATATGCTCAATTTCATCTTCCAAGTGAGAAAAAAATCAATAAATCGCCAAAAAAATCAACCTTTTAACTACAAACATGTAAATATATCGTAAAAGAAAAAAAAAGTGAAAGAAAAAATACATGATTCATAACATGTTGTAGCAAAATAAAATCAAAACCCTCTTTCAAATATGATAATACTTTAAAAAGATCAAAATCAAATTGATGTCGATGCAAATCTCGTCTATTCGCCAAAAGTTCCCAAAATCAACTACTAGGAGCTCCAAATCCACCAAGGAACTATTGGCTTCGTTTTGGTAAGAAATTGAAAAAATAAAATATTTATCAATCTTTCGATGAATGAGTGGTTTTTGAGGGGTTTTTCTCGCCCAAAAGGCCACGGATTTTCTATTGAGGGTTTAGAATACCCCTTAAAACCCTCTTCCCCCCTTTTTTAGGGGGAAAACATTACAGTTTTTACACTTATCGAGGGTTTTTTTCTGCTCGCCTGCAAGTTATCACGGGGCGGCACCTTGGTGGGTGCCCAGACAATAGCGCTTAGGTGATGCCTTGACCGCCTGGGCGGGCTCCTAGAAGTCAGCTGAAAAAGATCTTTGAACATTCACATGTTTTTTTTGAGACTGAATGATATGGTTCTTATTAAAGAAAAAGAATCAGATCATATCTTCTTAGTATAAAAACAGACAACGCATTTACCCATGTAGTTATCAATTGAAAGATTTTACAAATGTTATTCTTCTTGGAAGATGGGATCTTTTGTTTCGGTAAAACAGTCACACATACCCTAGCTTTAGTTTGAAGAGCAAATGATGGCACCTCAGACAAGACTAGGGGATATGTTGCAAGTAGGAAGGAAGCCAATGATGCCTCCTATCTTGAAAGGAAAAGTGCTATCCTTTGCATTGAGATAGTTATTCATATATGATTTGATGACTATTTGTAGTTCATAACAAAAAAATAGGATAGACTAAATTGTAGTTCATATGTACAGGATGGAGGCTTTGTAGTGCCTTTCATACAGGGAGGACTTTGTGGAGGCCATGCTGCTCTGTGTTAATATGGGTCATATGAAAATAAAGAAATCAAATTATTTTTGACGGTAGGTATTGGCTATGACATGAGGTCTTGGGTGGTTCTACTAGAGAAGATTTAAGGTGCTGGAGTGAGAATTTGGGCAAGTGCTTGAACTTTGGCTCTCCCATCAACTAGTAGAGCTGAGTGTTATACAACAAATTGAAATGGGTATTCTGGGCCCCTCTGGATTGGGAGCATGTTATGGGATGGGGAGAGAGGTTAGATCCCTGATCAAGATCCGGCTCGCGGGATCAAGAGATGCACAAAGATTTGTGGGATAAGGATTGAGATCTGTACATCGTGAGTTTAAGGGATCATGATCCCAACATGAAGGGAGTGCAATTCAAATTTGTTTCTGATTGAATGACAAAGCATAGGGGATCGAGGTCCATCCAGCTAGAAGTTGATGCTTCCCAAGAGCACTTAACTAGGACACTCGAACTCTGGAACAAAAGTTCGTTGAACAATATGATTAATATTTTTTTGAGTTGAAAATAAAAGTATTATTAAATACAAAGACTCCTGTTTTTGAAATATTTTTTTAAATTTTTGTTATCATTAGAGTGTGTTTCATAAGTAAGAAGTGAAACTGAAAACACAAAATGAGGATTCAAATTTCAGTCCCTAGGCAGGAAAGAAGCTCTAGAGTTTAATGGAAATCGGTGTCCTTGTTTTCCCTCATGTGGGTCCTTCCATTTAAAGAAATTGGGCATGCAACTGGTCAAACATTCTCTCGATTCCGAGGAAGAAAATAGGGTGGGAAAGGCAAAGGGAGTATCGGTCTGCAATGATCTTTGTAATGGTGGATATGGTCAACGTGAGGGCATTAGAAAGAAAGATTAATTATATAAAGCTTATTGTCCTTCCAGTAATTGAAATAAAAATGATTTTGGGTAGGACATAACAAAGCTTTAGCTTTGCAGTTGCTCTCCTTTATCTACGGTTCTACGGTTCCACAACATAATATGATAGCCACTTGTATGTTATAGTGTTTATTTCGTGACTTACAAGTTTAAAATTCAAACTTAAGCTTCAAACCCTGCTTGCCATTGTGGGCATTGTGATTGTTTCTTAACTGGTCGATCATCATCATCATCATTGAAGCCTTTTCTCAACTAATTAGGGTTGGCTACACAAATTCTGGTCCGCCATTTTGCTTTATCAAGTGCCATACCTTCAGTGGGGCCATAAGTCCCCATATCTTTTTTCACTACTTCCAACCATGTCATTTTCGGTCTACCCCTTGCCCTATTTGAACATTCTACTTGAACTAACTCGTACCTTCTAACAAGTGCTGTATTGGGCCCACTCTACACATGGCTAGCACACCTAAGTCTACTTTCTATCATTTTATTGCCTATTGATGCCACACTTAAACTCTTTGGATGTATTCATTTTTAATTTTATGCCTTCTTATCTTTCTACTTATTCATCTCAATATCCTCATTTCAGCTATACTCATTTTATGGGTATGTTGTTTTTTGACTGCCCAACATTCTGCCCCATAAAGTAAAGCTGGTCTCACAGCTATCCTATAGAACTTGCCCTTCAACTTCATGAGTATATGGTGATCACATAAAACTCCGGTCGCACATCTCCACATCGCCCACCCAGCTCTAATTCTATATGCGACATGTTCCTCAATATTGCTATTTTCCTGGATTATTGACCCAAGATATCGAAAGTGCCCTCTTTTTGGTATTTCTTAGCCATCAATCTTAACTACTTCCTCGTCTCTACTCCAATTATTACTAAATTTGCATTCCTATACTATGCCTTAGTCTGGTTAAGTTTAAAACCTTTAGATTCTAGAGCATCTCTCCAAACTTCTAACTTTGTGCTGATGTCGTTTTAGGTCTCATCAATCAATGTAGGTGTCTAGATGAGTCTTCCATAACTATGACAAAGAGTTATGGGCTCAATGCTGACCCTTGATGTAGACCTATTGTTACTGGAAACTCACTCGTCTCTCCACTAGTTGTTCATACATTAGTTGGCACTCACAAATCTCTCACCAAGTCGATGTAGTGTCTTGAGATACATTTCTTTTCTAACAGCCATCAAATCAAATCTCTAGGTACTCTATGATAAGCTTTCTCTGGTTCAATAAAGACCATGTCAAGGTCTTTTCCTTTGCCCAAAAGATCTCTAAGCCAATTCAAATTTTAGAATTTTTAGAGAAATATGATCTTTATGGTTATGTAAAAGATACTCATTCCACCTTGGTGGAGGTTCGATTGCACTTAATCATTGATCCATGATTTGGATGAGAGGTATCTGGACCCATTAACTAGGGATCTAGATCTTCAATTCAAAAAATTCAAAAATCATCTGGAATCGAGATCCCGTGTCCCAGAGCATAGGATCGAGCTTTTAGAGCTAGAGCGAGTGCTTTTGAGCGATCCCAGTAACTATGGTTGGGAGTATAATTAGAGATTTGGTCGTAAACATATGCATCGTGTATGCATGTTCGGTGGGGTTGGTGATGCAATAAGAGGAGAAGCAATACCACTAGCGAATGGCTTGCGAATCTTAGTTTTGTTCTTCTTTGGCACACATGTGGTGGGAGATTCTTTTAATGTATTCAAGAAAGTGAGGTCCCATGAAGAGCAGTGGAGTAGTTAGAGTAGATCATTGCCTATGGTAGCAGGAGGTATATCATCTGACCACATTTAGGGCCTGTTTGGGTCCTCATGATTTATTTTTGGAAAAATTCATTCCCTGGAACGAGTTGTCTATGATATCTGAGGCTAAAAATGCTAGAGAAAACTCAAACAAATAATCTTCTTGTGAATGCTGTTTTTTCCACATTATTTGGAAATAAATCTTCAACTTTTAGGTGGGAAGAAAACTTCCCTTGAAGTAAATCTTCTCCATCCCTAAACGAAGAAGGCCGAAACCCTATCCTCAGCAAACCTAAGAATTTCCTTCTTTCTTCCTCCCTCTGTTCCATCTCTCTTTCACCCTCCATTTTTTCTGACTAAAGCTTGGTTACCCACTTCCGACTTCCCCCTAATTGGTATCTCTCTATGTAAGGGGGCCCTAGTCTCTCTCTCTCCTTCCCTCTTTCACCACTATATGGGAGTGTATTCTCTCTCTCACTCTGTATCTCTTTGTAATAGTCTCTCTTGTAAAGAGTTTCGATGCTTTTGTTGCCTACTTACAGAGAGTGGTAATCTTATTCTCTCTCTCAAAAGGGGTTTTGACACATTTGTTGCGTACTTACAGAGTGTGGTAATTTCTCTCTATTAGAGGTTCTGGTATCACTTGGATTGTGCTCGCTATTGATGGTTTCATAGCTATTTGGACCGGCTTCCTACATTCTTCCATCAAGGTTTTGCAGCAATCCACATCCTATGCTAATTTCCCCCATTACAACTTCTGCCCCTGCTCTCTGCACTTCTATCCATTACAGCTCTCCATTTGAGAGAGATAGAGCCCATTTAAGAGGGAGGAATTGAGATTGGACCTATTCTAAAGCTCCTCTCTCTCTCCTCTCCCCCTCCTCTCCTCTCGCTTTCCCTGCTCCTCCCTCTTCTCCTAACATCCCCACTCTCTCACTTCACTTTCTGACACCCCAAACCTTACTCCCCTCTTATCTCCAAGCCCACCTCATGTCTCTCTATCCCTCTCTCCCTCCATGGAACCCGCTTCTCCATCCTCACTCGAGAACCACAAACTCCAATTCTCCCATGCCCACCTCTGTTACTCAACGATCATCATCATCATCGTCAGTACCTCTGTCACTCAACCCACAAACCCAATATCTCCTTCCTCTTTCTCTATACCCACAAACCTAGTTTCTTCCTCCTCTCCCTCTCAACCCAAAAAAACTTATTCCTCCTTTCTCTATCTACTGACAATCCTTAGAAGCCCCTCTCTCTTGATCCCTATTTCCCCCTTCTCAACTTCTCTCTTTTGATGCAAATTCTCTATTTCCGTTATTGGTTCTAACCACGATTTGGTTTTTTTCATTTCAAGGTGATCAATACAGCAAATAGAGGGCTGGCTCTGTTTCATTGTGCTCTTCTCAATCACTTCCTTGTAGTTGGTTTATCACTGGACACAAAACTCTACATTTTTTCGCTCTCTAGCCTGTTCTGTAATTTTGTATATCTTCTCTGGAAATAAATTTGCTGGTTGAGCCAAATAGTGAAAACATATTTCCAAGATTTCATTGAGATGCTCACTGAACAAGGTATATTCAAATCAAGGATTTGAATCTTCCAACAGTATCAAGATTTAAATCATCTCCATGAAATTTTTCTTGGGGAGTGAAATGGACCCTTGGGGTGAAGCAAATGAGAAGCCAATTGATTAGTAAAAATGGGGCGGAGCTGTAGAGTCTTTTTGTTTGAGAGATGGACCCACCTGATGGAGAGATGGCAATTAGTAATGCTTTTTATTTTCAATTTTTGCCTGTTTCTCTTTTCGCTGCTTTCTATTAGTTGTATGTGTTGGTTGTTGGAAATAAAAGAATTAAGCTTTATTGTATTTAATGGGCAGAACTGTCTTTTATCTTTGTTTAGGACTTATTTGTCTCATTTCTCTAAGTAAAGGCAGTATTGTCTAGAGATTGTAATTAGGTCATAACATAATATAAGTAAGAGGAAAGAGGTGACATGAGGATAACACATTCATACTCCATGTGAAGTCTAAAGATCAAGTTGCAGGTATCTTCACTAAAGTTGTTGAATTGGACATATTACATGATATCACAAGCAAGCTGGGCATGATTGATATCTATGCACCAGCTTGAGAAGGAGTGCTGGAAATAAAATAATTAAGCTTTATTGTATTTGATGGGCAATTTGTCTTATTTCTCTAAGTAAGGGCACTTTTGTCTCGACATTGTAATTAGGTTACAACATAATATAAATAAGAGGGGTGGAGGTTACATGAGGATAACATGCCACTCTTTTTTTTCTCTCTATCTCTCACACATCTCGCTCTCTCTCCTCTTCGTTTTCTCTTTTTCTCACTAGATCCTATCTAATTGTTCTCCTCTTCTTTACACTCTTTTGATTACTCAAGACAACTTTGGTGTTTGTCTGTGACTATTTTTGGATGCAATTCAATATATACATTTCCTGAGTTTCAATAAGAAGTTACGTATAATTTTTTATTTTCAACTATTGTAGATGTTTACATGTTAGCTTTACTTTTGGTTATGTCTGAATTTTACATGCCCAAGGAAACCTCAGTTAATTCATCAAAGCTTCTTTTCCTAATATAATCACAATGTCATTTGTCATTCACACTAGACATTGGCAAGGTAGTTGCATGAATACTTACTAAATGGTGATCCAAATGCGGGTGTGTTTTGACTTAGTTTATGAATGGATTTGTTATTGGATTGTTACAGAAATAGAGAATCCAGACATGCTGTCCCATGCATGCTTTTCATTTGTGAAGCAGTTGTGTTAATTTTCGATAAATAATAATCATGTGGTTTTTTAGTTTTACTTTTTGAAATTGCCATGCAGGTCCCAGTTCGGGCAGTACAAGCTGCTGCTATTGCACGAGCTCTTGCCATCCTTCCTCCTCATCAACGGCTTACTCTTCCATCGAACTCTGAAGATTTAGTTTTTATTTATGGAATCAAGCCACATGGTCAAACAACTGAAAGTTTAGAGGAAGAATTTTATGAGGAGGTTTTTGTCAATTTTATGTAATTTACTTGATATTTGTTTATTAGAATGTCTGCTATGTTGTAGGTGGTTATCTATATTCTCATTGTTTTGAACTCACATCCTCCCAATTCACAACATTTCTTTTACTGTTTTATGGTTTTGGTTGTCTTTTGTTGTTTTCAGAATTTTAGTTGTTCGTGTGCTACATACCACTAGAAAAGAGTTTCATGTCACACACATGGGATTGGTGTAGGGCAAAAAATATTCTGCATGATAGAATTCATTAAATTTCAGATGGAGTCTCTTTCCTAGTCAACTTTAAACCCAGAAAGATTAGAGCTTTGACTTGTAAAATGGCATACTAGTACCTACAAAAAGTAAAATAATGCTTCAGTTCATATTTGGATCATCTAGTGTTTTTAGTTCCTTGCTTATGTATGCTTTGCCAATTTACTCACAAGTTAAAACATTAGAAATGGGAGAGTGAAGTCCTTCATTTATGTTCTCCCTTTATAATTTTAGGCAGATTACCTTGGTTTGTATGGGGGATTACCTCCTAGGTTTCAACTTTGAACCCTTGCCCTTACTCGTGTAGAGCAGGTGTTGCACCACCAGACTGGAGGCCTTGGGGCAAGTCTACAGGAAGCTTTTTTGGCATGCAAAAAGAGGCATTTTCACAGTTTCTAGCTTGTATCAAGCTAGTCTAGCTTGTATCAAGCTTAATAACAAAACCTTTTTCTTTATGGCTTTCAGTTTTTTGGCATGGTGACTTTTTTGCAGGTCTGGGGTTGACAAAATCTAGCTCCCCCATCTCAGATCTCCTTCTAAGAATGTCTGCTATATCTACTTAAAAGTTCGAAACTTGTGACCAAAAACCTTAGGAACACCAAGATCTACATAACAGAAATGGCACTATCATTAGTGTAGTGGTTGTTCACTAGATTTTTATTTTTGTTTTTTGGGGATAAATTTGGTATTTGGTGTTTCTCGGGTTCTTCTGAAATGGTTTTTTGACTTTCAATAAATTTAGCCATTGAAGGTCTCAATCCATAGCGATGTTGTCTTTGGGTGTTCCTAATTCTTGTGTTACAATGGCACATTCCATTGGAGGTACACAGAATATTTCCATGATGCTGGGACCTCCCAACATAGGTGGCAATTAATTTGGTTGCTCCGGGGAAAGGATCTCGATATTTAATTTTGGTATCTTGATCCCCATTGTTAAGGATCTTGAGTCCTACTATTTGGGATCTTGATCCCAACTTTAAAGACCAAGAGAACAACCAAATTGATGATTTTCTTAATTTATAGCCAGCTAGCAACACAACCATATGTTTAATAATTTGGATAGCTTGCTGGCTTTAAATGAAGAGATTCCTACTATAAAGAGTATCTATAATCCTGGACTATACATACTCTTTAAGGTTGATCAAGGTTCCAAAAGGTCAAGATCATGATCCCCTAAAGGTTGGAATCTCGATCCCTAACATTTGAGAGTCTATTCTCTATATACATTGTGTGGACGGCGCTCCCAACTATAGGGATCTTCCAGCATTTGACAATCCCCCGCTTTGGATCCCAATTGTGCTCCCAGCCCCAATCCTGATCCCAACAACTATTATTTGAACTAAAGAGTTGGACAATAAAGGTGTTGTCGACCAATGAGGCATAGTGTTCCCCACCTTCAACCCACTCTTACTTGCTAAAAAATATCTTGAACTATCATCCTCTTGGTTACCTCACAATCAGAGATTGCATTTGTATTCTACCTCTTTCCTCTTTTCCTTTTTCCCTGACACTACTCTCCTCTATTTTCCCCATCACCAGTTGCCCAACTGCTCTATCACTTCTCTCTCTTGCTCTGTCCTGGTAGCCCGCTCATACACCCCCCCCTGGAAACCCAGCTCTTTCCTTATAAGCGAATTTTTCCTCACTTTTTGGCTATCCATGTCTTTTTTTTCCCACAATCCTCCTCCAAACTATCCTTTTTACCTTTTTCTTCCCTCTCCCTCCCACTTTAGCTCACGGTTTCTCATTTTTGCAGCTCCTTTTGACCTAAACTCTCTCTCCGTTCTCTTCTTCTTACTACCCTCTAGCAATTCCTCTTCTCTCTCACTATAACTTTCTGCTCTTGTTTTTGGCCCTGCTTTCCCGTCTTAAGTCTGGTCACTTTATTTTGGTTGTACATTCTGAGCACGAGGTCTGTGGGATGCCAACACCCACATCTTGTGGGTTTTTGAAGCATATTCTATACATATAAAGTTATATCCTCAAAGAAAAAAAAAAAAATTCAACAAAAAATGAACACAAGGACAATGTGAAAACTCTGGTATTCTAATCAGAAAAACTTCCAAGTTTGGAGGATTTCTGTATCCTTTTTGTAACTAGGTATCAAAAGAGTCCTGTTGGTTAGGACCTTTGCCATACAGGCCATGTGATTCCTTATGAAACTGCTTTGTTATCTGCACCAAGAAGTCATTTAGAAGTAGCTACTGGCATTCTTTGGATGTTTGAAAACGTGAATAACTTTTAACCTTCCAAGCTGCCAGAAAAATAAGCTTTTAACCAAACTAAATTGCAGAGAACCATTTGAGGTCTTGGTTTACACTTGAAATCTAAGGTCCTGGTTTTTCTTGACTGCCCCTGAACTTCTCAAGTTTGACCCCCCTCCATCATGGGTAATTTATTTATTTTAAAAATTCATCACGGGTCTACAAAGAGTATACGTTTTTCTAATTTTGTATCTATTCTTGTAAGACATTAATCATTCAACTTGCTTCCCATAGAATGTGTTTGTTTCATTACTTTAAAGCCTCATTGTATGTCCAAATGAACCATGATTTGCTACTGTTTTTGGTTATGGGGTTTGAATTGGCATCTTAGAATGCCATTTTAACCTCCATTTAGGTCTGCATTCACCCATAAATGCCGCTATGAGTTGGATGAAAACTGAAAATACCAGTTTTCATCCAACGCACAAATGACCTCTACAGGTGGGAGCATTGACCACATGATCACCAAAATGATGTGGGCACGGAATCTTTGGGTAAACGCTTGAAATTGTTGCTGGCACCCACATCAAGCATAAGATGGAACTTTATTCTCTTGAAACCATTGAAGCCATTCCGCTATGAAGTTTCTTAGAGATTCTCAAATCACCCAAACTTGTTTTAAAGAGTCCCTTGACATGGCAATTAAATCAAAATTTAATCCTCTATCCTTTCCACTCCCCAAGCAACGTAAATTTGGAAACTGTACAAGCATGTCATGGAGAGCGTCACCAATGGGGGTAATTAAGTCATGCAGTTTGTCTTCAACTCCTAGACCAGATGCATTGCGGTGCCATGTTAGAAATCAAAGGACAACTGCCTTTGTTGATGGTTTCGTTGCAGATCTTTCAAGGCTTGAAGGACCATTCAACGTTATTTTGTTTTATGAAATATGCTGTTGAAGCTTGCCTTTAAGGGGAACTCTACTGAATTCTGGTTCTATTTCTTCCAAGAACTCCCGCAATATGCAATGCTCAGTGGGGAACATCCTTTCAGGTTGGAGGTTGAGACAATTCATATACCCACTGTCGCCCTATCAGTTTCTTAGATTATGCTTTCTTCAATCTTCGTCTTAAGCTTGGTGATGAGTGTATGAGCATGGTGAAGGCCAACCCAATAGGTAATCTAGTTGGATGTGCTGAACTGATCATAAGGGGATGTTTGGTAACTGGAAGTTGTATTGGACCACTTCCACACCTGCCAATTGGAAATACTACAGTACAATTACATTTTGGGACTTCCGCCTTCCAAAGACTAGGATATTCACCTCTACACATGGAAGCAGACAATTTGGAAGACATGGCTCCTTTCATTCGTGCATGTTAGCTGCAGCACATGTTTCTCCCAACGACCAGCCCCTCCTGGCCCTAAGCTCTCTCTACTCTCACTGACCTAATCTCTCTCTGCTTCCATCACTACTCTCTTTTTCTGCCTGCCCTCACCCTCTCACCACCTATCTCTGTGCTCTCTCTCTCCATCTTGCTCTTACCAACTCTCTCTACTCTCTTCACCCTAACCTCGCGACTCTCACCAGCACCTCTCTCTGCTCTGTCCACCTTGACCTTAACTTCTACCCTCTCTCTATGCACATTTTGTATCCCTTGTTTTGATACTGTCAATGGGTATACCCAGGCCACAATATAACCTCGCACCATTTTGGAAGCAGCGATTTGTTTTTTTAATTGGGGTCTTTATGCAGGACAAAATTATTCCAATTTTTAATTTTTGTTTAATTTCAAGATTTATTTTAAAGTTTTTTTCTAGGGATTCTAGGGTTTTTTTAATATTTTTATTTTTCATTTACTGTTCACAGGTGTTGTTCATGTTACTCAATGAACGAAAATTTGGCCACCTAGGCAGCCTGGCTGAGAAACTGCCTAGGCTATGGGGTTTGGGCGGGGATGTTTAAGGTGGGGCCTAGGCAGTCAAGGCGGGCGCCTAGGCGGTCTGGGTGCCCACCTAGTGGCATCCCTTAAAGAAATAAATAAAAAAAAGATGGATTCTCTCTCTCGTTCTCTCTATCTTTGTCTCTTTGGTCCATGTGCTGTCCTTACATATGAGAAGAAGAAGAAGGGCTCCAAGTGTTCGATGCGCTGCCTCTCTCTCTCTCTCATACACACGCACACATACACATACAAAGATACACATGGACCCATATTCTCCCTCTTTACATGTAAGAAGGAGAAAAAGAAGAAGATGGCTCCAAGTGTTCAATGCGAGGTCCCTCTCTCTCACAGACTCTGTCTCTCTCTCTCGGCATATCCTCCAAGTGTTCAAGACCTCTTTCTCTCAAATACCGATCCAAACAAAAAAAAGAAGATCTTTGACAATTTCATGCAAGATCCACGCACACACATACGTGCGCATGCACACACACCCACTAAACACATACACACACTTTCACAAAACATACACACAAAACAACATATGGCCCCCACCCCAACTCCTTTCCTTAGGGCTGCCGTTATGTCTGGGTGCCCGCCTAGGCGGCGGCCTCCGCCTTTTCAAACATTGATGTTACTGTTCATGGGTATTGCTCATGTGTAACTCTTTACAAGGGTATTTATGAAATTTAGTATTGTTTAGGGTTATTTTAGAGTCTTAAATATTTTTTTTGGAAGCTGTTAAGTGTCTCAAAGGGGTAGGTTGCAAACATCGATATTACTTTATACTAACACGATATCTGAGATTGGAACAGTTATGAACTTTCATGAATGTCCTGACCTCCAATGAATCAATTCTCTGTTTAGGAAACCATGCCGTGAAATATATATGTAGGTTTTTGTTTTTTTTAAAAATCTAAACTGCTTGTTTTGTTGAACCTATTGTGGATGAGCTATGATTTGAAAATCTCCTTCATTGAACAAATATCACCCTCTCATCGATGGAAACTTCAATGAACAATTTAAACCGGCTTATTTCCAGATCTGCACGTTTCCAAATTTCTAGGTTCAATTGAATAAGTCTCTAGAATCCTTTAGAATTCCAAATGGGATACTAAACACAGTATTTTCCAGTTCTAGGTATCAACATTTCCAGTTTCCAGATTCTAGAAATTCCAGCTCCAGGGGAATTCTTGCTTCTGGTTTGGAAGAGAGCAAGCTAACTCTCCTGCAAGTCCCTACCCCTCATATAACTCGGCTTTAGGTTGCATAGTCTTGTGTGCAATTTTCAGACAGGCCCTCATGTAGTTCTGATATTTCCATCTGGGCTATAAGGTATTTCACAATTGTATTTTACCCTTGAAAGCTATACACAGGTGTATTTGTAATTGTTAAGTGTGTTATTTGACATGGAAAATAATTTTTGTTAAATGTTGACCATACTTTCATTAATCTGAATTTGAGCATGCTCGTATACTTAGAAAATATCCAACACTGGAGCTGCTGAAGTGAATTTCAGTGGGAGTATTTAGGCAATCGAGGCTCTGCTGGTGCTGGAGGAGTATTCTGGAAAAGCATGGTTGACATAATTGCCTCATACTTCGTATTCAAATGAAGCTGAAGATAGAGTGCTTCTTTGAAGTATTGGATATTAATAGCTGTCAAGGTATGAGAGGCTTGAAGTGGGAGAATGGTTGAGGGTTAGCAATCCCCCCCAGAATGTCGCATTTGGCAATCCTAAAACCGGAGCCTCTTGCGGAGCTTGCTCCCCTCCAGTCAGGGACCTTGATCCCTGACCAAGAGGGATCTCAATCCCTATTGAAGGAGAATTGTCATCCCCATTGAAATTTAGGGTGTGTCCTAGTTTGAAGGGATATCGAACCTAGGGGAAGTTTCAAAAGTTTTTGAATTTTGGAGCTGACAGCTCTGATTTCATGCTGATCTTTTGCTTTCTAACAATTTTCCGAGCCGACTCAAAGTCACTCAAGTCGGATTGGACCCATATGTGTCCCTGGCCTCAAATGGTCCCAAACTGGGGAATCACCTGAGTTGTCCCGAACTGGGTGTTTCATTATAGTGAATTGCCCCTTTCACTATAAGGACTCAAGTGATTCTTGAGAAGGTTTTTATCGTGGTTCTAATATCTCATTTTCTCAAATTTTAATTGGAGTTTCAAGCTATAGGTTCTTAGGTGTACGATTTGTGTCATAGGGTTCGTGGATATATCTATTATCAAATAATTTGTCTCTAACTAAGTTGGAAATAAGTGGGAACTTAGCAAGATATTGCAGCCAATGGAATATGAAAAATACTAAAGTATGCAATTCACAATTTCGGAGATGTGTTTCATATGTAGGATATATCAAAGCTTGTCGGAATTTTTCTTTTAATTGGGCCTAATTATTTTTGGAATTTCTACATTTATTATCAAAATTTTTGAATGGGATAAGAATCTCTATGAAATGCAAAATGATGGTCTCCATGGATGTTGTGGAATTTTTTCTTTTATATTTAATGCGAGATTGTTTTTGGTTCCCACCCAAAGTCGTTCTTAAAAATTCATTAGGCACTGTTTTGGGCTTCTATGGGAACCATACTTGTTAGTAACATTAGAAAATCCTACTATTGATGAAAGATTTCATATTTTTTTTAATATTTGAAATAGAGAACAGCTTTAGAAGGTTAATTTTGGAAGTGGGCTGTGCATGGAATGTCCAAATGAACTCTCTCATCCCACTGATTCCCACCTCTTCTGCATGTAGTGAAACTCAACATTGATGTTAGTTTGTAGGGTTGCCCACGGATGACAGGTATTGGGGGAATTGCAAGAAATCACGAGGAAGCGTTTTTTATTTATTCAGGTCTGGCATGTCATCACGATGCAATTGAAGCAGAGTCACACATGCTATTAACGAATTTATGAAACATGAAACCTGGCAGGACCTCTGTTTTGGTCAAGGGCACGATTGCATGGTCTTATACCAGTTTCATGTGCCTGGGAGATTTAACCACATTTTTGAGGAGATTTTCGACAAAGTTTCATTGGTGATAATGATCTTCAAGCATGTGTGGGGACAGTCCAATGAGCTTGCAGATTCCTTAGCTAAAGTGGGAGCTAATTGATCAGCATTAGTGATCAGTAGGATCGATTAACTCCTTCCTAGTGTTTTGGAAATCTTCTTGGCCAAAGTACTCAGCCCTTGGCCAAGGTGAGTACCCGGCGAAGTCCGAGTGGACTTGGTCGAGTTACATACAACCCCGTAAAATGTAGAATTTTTTTTTTAAGTGTCGAGAACTTCTGAAAAATAGTAAAAATAAGAAAAAGTTAAAAGAGTTAAGATAGAAATCATTAGATGACTAAGGAAGATGAAAAGAATTTATAAAAGATCCACTATTGAAAAATTTGATTTATACCTTGAATACTTCGGAAAATTTTTTAAAAAATGGAAAATATAAACTTTTCCAAATCATCTTAAAAACTATCAAAATTATCTTAAAACAAACATTTCTAACCGATATATTGGTGATTTCTATTTTTTTATGTTTTTAACTTTTTTTTTTAATATTTTTTGGACTCAGCTGAGGCTCATAACGCTGTCCCCCCGTCCCCCTCTTTTTCCTTTTGGTGCAAATCAAATTCAAAGATATAAAGGAAAAACAGATGCTCATTGTTCCACGTGCATTGTTGTACAGGTTCACTTTTCTATATGATCCATGAAACGAAGTTGACAGTTGAACAGAAAATTTTGGAAGTGGGCCCTAGAATACATTTTCATTGGATAGGTCTGAACCATATTTGGGCATCCCTATAGAAGTTCTGAAAAGAGGAAGGTTTTGAGGGAGAAAACTTAGATATGTTTTTCAAACTTATAGGAAGTGATTTTTCAACATCTATATGTTTTTCCCTTTTTCTTTCGTTTTCTGTTTTGGTTTATATTCTGTGATAGAAGTCCATTATTATGTTAAATTGGTATTCTTTGTTAACCTGTATTTTACTTTGAACATTATGTGGAGTTGTAACATTCATGGAAAGGGGGAGGCACAAGCTATCTCAGGTCCATTGGATGCTTGTGACTCCATGGAGATACTGATAAGTGATAACCATTCTCAATGGTGTTGGTGCGTGCTGCATGATGAACTCCATTGTTAGCTATATATTCGATACTGAGATGGTTACAACAGAGGTAACTAGTTTGGGCCAACTGGCACCAAAAAGTTTGTTCAAAGGTCAGCCAGATAAAAAATATGCCAGAAAGTGATTTTTTATTTCAACATTTTATACATCAAGAAAACAAAATAGGCCCAAATGACATATGATAGCTGGTCTGGAGTGTATCATGGGGCAGCTCACTCAATCAGCCTCTGAGAGTGATGCAAAAGAGGTCCACTCTCCTCTTTATAGTCTGTAAACTATTAAGTGTATGTTGCACCTCAAATTCATGTTCCATAATATTTTTTTGCAGGCCTTATTATGCCATTATGTTGTTTTTTACGTTTTCCTGCTTTTGATTATTTTGCGTCTGTTGTTGGTTAATAGTTGCAGGGAAATTGAATGTTAATGTTTAGAAGTCTCTGTTATACGATTATCCTCAACTTGGTTTAACAATTGTGGTTACTTGCATGTGTGCAGGATTTTGATCCAGTTAGGCATGTCCTTCAACATATTCCATTGGAAGAAAATGGTCTAAGCTACTTTGAGACGAAGGTATTTTCTGCTTTATGTTCGATAAGTTGAATCCTTGTGGGCTTGCATTTTCTTATCTCTGTGTGACTTATCAATGGGTATTTTCTGATTCTCATGTTTCAGTTTTCCTTTATAAAACAGCAAATCAGATCATTAGATCAATCTCCTGCAATTCTTCACTTTGAAATCTACATTATATGGAACATTTGCTTGATGCCTAATTAATTATGATAAATAGGGCCCCACTTACTTTCTTGTCAGGCCACTTTGAGATTAGCACAACTCGATGGCATAGCAGAGAGATTGTCTCGCCATGTTATGGAGCACCATGAAGAAATGGGTATGTTTATATTACTATCATCTGTTTGTAATATAGTATGTCTTATCGTACATTACATTCAATTTTGTGAATGCTGCTAAAATGTAGTGGTATTTAGTTGTGGAAAACATGTGTTAGGATTCTTAATTATTGATTTTTGGTATCCTATTATTTCTTGCTGCTTATGCCAAAAGGAGATAGCCTAAAGATACTCAGTAGATACTTTGTAAAAGGCATTAATGATAAAAGATGCATACGAAACATTCCAACTTCATGCCTCTGACATTCTATTAATTGTTTTAATTATTAATTTTATGCCTGTTATGTTTTTCCTTTATATAACGGCAAACTATTAACACTTGCAATGGGAACTTGAAATATTAGCTGTGAATAGGGAAGCTTTTCCTTTGGAACCAAACTCTGCATATCTGGAATAAAATAATTTGCAAGCTCATTTACATGTAATTGCCTTCCGCGTGGATTTGGCAAAATCTGCTAAGAGGAATTCCACCAAGTGACTGTTCTCACTGATCATTGCCAAGTTTATGGATACAGGAGTTCAGGCCGGAGAACTGCTCTTGATCAAAGTTATTTCTCAAAATCAGAGCGGTTTTGTCAAAAATTGACAGCTCCTTGATGGAGCTAGTGTTGCTCATGAAGCCTTACGTTACAGGCACCAAATGAAGCCTGGTCTCATTTTGAATCCAGATTAGGGAAAGGCCTCCGACCATTTCGGTTGGTTTATCCTGGACCAAGTCCTCTTCAAATTAGGATTCGAACAGATTTGGAGGAAATGCATCTATGGTTGGATGTCTTCCACCTCTTTTCAGTTCTTGTCATTGGTGCCCCGAAAGGACTACTCTCCCATTCTAGAGGTTTATGTCAAGGGGACCCTCTATCCTCCAAGGGAACTACATTTTCCCTATTGGTCGGAAGGGGAAGCTTCCACACTATCGGAAACAGGAATTCCACCCGGGTGGGAAAAAGAATTCCAAAATGGTTGGCAAGGGGCAGAGAATTATGGGAAGGAAGAGGAAGTGAATCCAATGAATTGAGAGTAGGGGCCAACTCAGAGGTCTTCCTTGTGTACGGGTGGGTGTGAGATCAATCTCAGTCTCTCTCTGGCATTTCTCCCCGAGGTAGCATATCTTAGCGGGGAACCATAGGCATAACGAGTAGGAAGTATGTGCCCCCACCCCAAGTAGGGCTTGGAGGGAGCATTAGCTTGCCTACTGAACTGAGATAAGCGAGCATATCATCTTTTTGTCCATGCATCCACCAGCTTTCCAATCTCAGTTGGTCACGGAGAAAGGGTACTCCAATTCAAGTAGATGCCGCCAGCAAGTCTTTCATTTATGCACCGTGGCTAAAATCTTTGGTAGGTCCTTCTCTAGGCTGCACCAAAGAGGACTCTCAGGTTTCAGGTGGACCTTCAAGGTTTGGAAATGAAATCTTTCATCTCCAATATGTAGACGATATTTTGGTATCTGCATTGCCATAACCAAACAAGCTTACAACTACAGTTATTCGTCAGATGTTTTGAACTAGCTTTTCGCATTAAAATCAACATGGCCAAATCAAAACTGATAGGAATTGAATTCTCCAATTATCGCTTTTCCTTCATTGCAAGTGGATTGGGCTGTGGCACAGACCAACACCAATTGAAGTACCTCAGCCTACCACTCTGCTCAGGTAATCCCATAAAGGCACTTTGGGACCCCATAGTCAAAAAAATTAAGAGGTTGGCTTCTTGGAAAGGCAGGTATCTCTCTCTTGGAGGCAGGGTAACTCTCATCGAAGCTATCCTCTCAAATATCCCAATTTGTTAAATGTCTCTTTTCAAGATTCCTGCTAGCGTCATCAAATCTCTTGGAAGCCTTACGAAAAAATTTCGTTGGTTTGGGGTAATAATATTTGATAGTGTATGAAACCAAATCTATGGTACTAGTCTTGAAACTCACACTTAATCTTGACAATACAACTTCAATTTTACTTGGAAATACAAGACTTATGGCACTTTTAACCTCAATTACAGCCACATAAAACCAAATTCTAACCACTCAAAAACCTTCAATACACTCTAGGCAGTGAGGATACAACTCATTTTGGGTCCCTTGTCAAAAAGAAAATCAAACTATGCAAGGGTGATCAAGTACACAACACTTAAAAAAGTAGTGCTCTTGAAATTTAAGCACTATATAAAAGTACATGTTTGAATCATAGTTGTGGGGATCTTATTCGAGGGGTGGCGTTCCCCTCTTGGAATCTCGATCTGGCGATCCGGGAGCTAGAACCTGGGCAGTACGTGCTTCCTCCCATAAGGGGATCTCGCTCCGCACCTATTGGGATCGAGGTTCCTAATCTAAAGGGATCTTGATCCTTGACTACAAGGGATCTTGATCCCTATCGATGGGGGACCATGACTCCTCAAAAGATGGGTCGCCTTCCGAATATGACAGGTCAATTTTAAGGGCTTGTATGCATGTGCTCGTTACCACTGATGGTAACGAGGTTCATATTCCATGAGAAGTGTTTTAGTAATACTAATGTTGACGAGTTTGTAGTCCATGTATTCATTTCAATTATGTAGCATTGCCCATGAAAAATCTTATAGTAATACTAGCTGACTATGAAAATTAATTTAAATCAACTTTATCAATGTACTTTATTAAGTACTACGTATATGCTACTAAGCATACACTCAATGAACTCATTTCAAACATGTAGCATAGTTCATGAGATATCTTATAGCAATAATATCAACATTAATTTAATTTCACTAAATCAATATACTTTAATATAAAGAATACTAAGGATATAGAATTTTAATTATTAAGATTTCATACATTAATTTTTTTAAACAAAATGTCATATATCTTTTTTTAGTTCCTACACAATTGACAATTTCGTTTGTTTTATATTATTTAAAAGTGTTTAAAAGTAATGGAATTTTTTGTTTATTCATTTATTCTCATAATTTTCATGATCAAAATTTGGTTTATAGCACACAATTTCTATTCCATTTATGTCTTTCATCTCTTAAAAAATTAATTTAATATTATTTCAAGCATTTATTTTTTTTTTAAAAAGGTTGACTATATTGATAAAAAAAAGAATATACATTTGTAACTAATCCTAAAGACGGCAGTCCCACATTTTGGGTGCACAAAAAACAAAAGTAGAGATAGAAAGAGAGAAGAAAGAAAAGAGAAAATCGAGACCTCTACTTTTGTTCCCCCTCCCAAAAGCCTATTGCCCTCTCGGGTCCTCCCTTGCTTCTTCTGCTCTCCTTACCTTTCCTTTCGCTTATCCTCATCTCCCGAGGAGACAGAGTCTACTCGCTCTAAACTGTCTGCTGCGTTAATAGTGTCTTTTATTCCTCGTCGTGACGACTTCAGAGGAATCGAGAGATGGGCAAGTAGATCTATGAAGGATCTGAATCTATCCTATAGACGCCTTTCCAATGGCGATTACCTGTTCTCCTTTTCGTCCCCTGCCGGAGCTCAGCTTGCTCTACAGGAAGCATCCAACCTTACTTTCGAAGGAGCACACGCTTCTCTTTGGGGGTCACCAGTTGAAGGCTCCTTCTGCAAACAAAGGGTTTGGTTCACCATTAATCACATTCCCCTTCATGCGTGGACACCTGAGATTTTTCGGAGGATTGGGGAAGCTTGTGGTTCATTGGTCTCCATTCATTGGATCTCTACGGAAACCTTACAGTTGAGATCCATTCGACTTCTCTTGAAAGTTCTCGATACGAGCTGCATCCCTCAATCGATCTGGCTTGAAGTCGATAATCTGTACTACCGCGTCTCTATTTCGTGGTCTTCAGCCTCGCCTCCCTCCTCAAAATTCTTTTAACATGCCGACCTTGTTATCCCACCGGTTTCCATACCTGAGCAGGCTTGGACCGTGGTGTCTAAGAAGAAATGACACCGGCAGTGCTCCCGTAGACGACCCCCTGCTTCGGCCCAATTCAAACCAGTCAGCCCTCAACCCTCCAGCAAGAATCCCTCCGTCTGGCGTCCTTGGGCTCCACGCTCCTCCCTTTCTTTTTTAACCCCGGGTCCACCGTGTGACCTGAGCCCTGGTGATATCGTTAGGACAGGTTCACCCACAGCTACCTCCTCACCTTTGTCTCGTCGACCCTGTAAAGAAGTTCTCGAGGACACCTCTCCACCTCCTCTACCTTCCGGCCTTGCTGACAAACCTGGGTCGTCGCACTTTTTATCCTCGCTCGCCTCTCCCACTGACTTATGTCCCTTCCCTCTCTCATCATTACCTCCCTACCCCCCCTCGTCTTCCCCGTCTACGTGTCCCCTTGAGCCCCTCGTCGTACCCTACCCTTCTTTTGACAAGCTCGATGGCCCTCGTCCCATGTTAAAGACGCCTCCTCCCTCCTCCTGGCACGTTTCCCCTTTGTCGCCCTCGCTGTCCTCTCCTACTCTGTTGCAGGAACACCTATCCCTGACGATGCCGGCGGTAATTGTACAAGCGCCGCTTGGCCCTACCTTTGCGCCTCCTTCTCTAGCTCTCACTGCTCTTGCTCTGACCCTCCCGGTTCCCCAACAGTTGGCCTGCAGCTCTCCACCCACCCCAGCCGTTCCCCTTCCCTCCTTTGGAGCCTCAGAGCATCCCTAGTTCGCCCGCGCGGCTGCACCTCCTCCCTTGAGGGTGGCTCCCCCCTCACTCCCTCCCTCCCCCCCCTTCGCCCCCCTTTTTCTTGAACACCTTGCCTCACCTTGTTACCCCCTCTATAACTCTTTCCTGTTCCTCATCTTCCTCTTCCTCTTCTGGACCCCATCCTCATGTACTCCTACCCCCCCTACCCTGTGTTCCAAACCTCTTTATTGAAGGCCCCTCTTCTTTCCCCGCCCTCCCCTCTTTCTCTCACCTTCTTCCCTCTCAACCTAGGTGACTTCTACATGTCTTCAGAAGGTTACCACTCCAACAGGTTCTCACACAGGGACCTTATCCCACTGGGAATTGTTGCAGCTCACCCTTTGGACCTCTCTCCCCCT